TGGGCAGCTGTGCTGTTGAGCTCCACCCTGCTCCAGCTGCCTGGCCGTACTGGGTCCTGGGGGCCTGATTCTTTTTTTTTCCTTCAAAAGTTGCTCCCCCACACCACCACTGGCTGGATGCCAGCTGGCAGGGCACTGCCTGGGCTCTGAGAGGCCCAATCCTTTTTGGAGCTGAGGCAGTGCCTGGCTAGCCATCAGCCCGGGCATGGCAAGCATGGGGCAAGCTCCGGAGAAAAAAAGGATTGGAGCCCTTGGAGCTCAAGCAGCAAACTACTCATCCCCCTAGTTTCTAGTTCTGCCCCTGCTCACTAAGACTAGTGGCAAACTGTGTAGGTGGAGGACAATCAGAGATGATTTTTTGCCTTAAGGTGTGACTGCTCCACTAAGTCGAACAACACTGAGCTATTACCATTTGTTCAACTTACAGCGTAAATTGTAACAAGGCCCTTATATTTCACTTTCTGAATGTCCTTCCTTTGCATTTGATGAAGTGAACTTGGTTTCATGAAAGCGTGTGCTCTCACTATATATCTTATCTAGTTTATAAAGGTTCATATCTACTGTGCCTTCAGAGTGATAGAATGTCATTGGAAACAGTGCAAGATTGTCCACAAGAAAATTGTTTTTTCACTTTGCATATAAGCCTCTAAGACAGTTTAGGAGCCCTTCACGTGCAAATCATTAAATTACATGATTTCTTTTTGCATCTAAGCAGTCACCCTTGCCATTGTTGATCTCTGTAGATCTTCCGTCAAAAGAGGAAAACACTATCATAAAAGACCCTAACAATTTAAGTGTTTATCCATAATATTGTCTATTTTTCTCTCTCCATTCAGTCTCAACCATCCAGGCACTCATATAACCAGAGAAGCAAGGGATCTAGGAAGTAAAATGGGATCTAGGAAGTAAAATGGGAAGTAAAATGGGGAAGGAGTCGATGAAAAAGAGAGAAAATCACTATTTTCAAAGCATGTCAGTTGTGCTGGGGGCTTTGTTCTTTCATTTGGGCACAGCAAATGTTCTTTCATTTGGGCTGGGCGTGTTCAAATCAGCAGGTACAGATGCTCTCCACCCCAGGGTGTTGAGGGAGCTAGCAGGGGTTATTGCAGGGCCCTTGGCATGGCTTTATGAGCGCTCGTGGTGCTCGGGCCAGGTGCCAGATGGTTGAAAGATAGCCAATGTGGTCCCCATCTTTAAAAAAGGGAGGAGGGAGGACCCGGGCAACTATAGGCCCGTCAGTCTTACTTCAATCCTTGGGAAACTCTTTGAGAAGATCATCAAGGAGCACATCTGTGATGGGTCGGCATCGGGGATGATGGGCCATCATCAAGGGCAACCAGCTTGGTTTCATTAGGGACAGGTCATGTCAGACCAACCTGATTGCCTTTTACGATCAGGTCACAAAAGCGTTGGATGCAGGTGTCGCCGTGGATGCAGTCTTTCTGGACTTCAGCAAGGCCTTTGACACTGTCGACCACCCCATCCTCATTAAAAAACTGGGTGACTGTGGCATTGATGCCTACACGGTCAGATGGATTGCAAATTGGCTGAAGGGTCGTACTCAGAGGGTGGTGGTGGATGGGTCATATTCGACCTGGGGGGAAGTGGGCAGCGGAGTCCCCCAG